TTGCGCAACTGATTCAATGTGATAGAGCAGCATGGGCAAGGTTGGCCAGTTCCCTTCAAAGCATCAGGCAGGCTGAGGACGGCAGTTACCCTTTTGGGAAGGCTTTGCTTGACCTGCGAAGTGATCCTTACATTGTTTTGTATTTGGCCCCGGTCGCTCGCGTTTCAAATGCCTCCGGTGACACATGGAACAGGCGTGCAAGCCCATACAGCCAGCCACAGCATGAGAAAGGAGGAAAAGGCAAAGGAGGAAAGGGTAAGAAAGGCTTTGGTAAAGGCCCCAGAGGCTCACCAGCAATGCCAAAGGAGCTCCATGGCAAATGGCACAAGAATTCCAGCGGCGATCCAATTTGTTTCGCATACAACACGACTGCAGGGTGCAGTGATAAGGGCGTGAAGCCCGGAGATCGATGCCGGCGAGGCCTCCACGTTTGTGCCGAACCCAGGTGCCAGCAGGCCCACGCTCTCCATGAGCATGGGTCAAAGTGACTCAGGCAGATACACGCTCCACGGAATTGGGCCAGCATTCACGTGGGGCAGGTTTGGATGTTAGAAGTTTTTGCTGGCTCAGCAATCCTGTGCAGCATTGCAAAGCAATATGGTATGCAAAGCAGCCTGGCTGTGGACAAAGTTCAAAAGCCCGGGGCCCGATCCAGTGTCATCAAACTTGATCTGACACGTGATGTCGATAGGTCTGTTCTTGACAAGTGGCTGGACTCTGACATGTTGCTTTGGATACACCTTGCACCGGTTTGCGGCACGGCGTCCCGGGCTCGGGAGATTCGTTTGCTTCCTACAGACCCACGACCTTTGCGCAGTCGTGAACATCCTGACGGGTTGCCAGACCTCGCTGGAAGTGAGTTGCGCAGAGTTCAGATCGCCAATCAGTTGTTTGACTTTGCATGTGAATTGTTCCAGAAGGCCACCCGAAAAGGAATTTTGGTCACCCTGGAAAACCCTTCGAATTCGTATTTTTGGTCTACAAGTTTCTTCATTTCACTTTGGAGGAGCGTTGAAATCTATTGTGCAGATTTTCAGGTATGCATGTACGGAGGTTCTCGGGCTAAGTGGACGCGCTTTGTCGCCAATTTTTCCTCCATCACTGAGCTGTCCATCGAGTGTGACAACAAACATGACCACGCTCCTTGGCGGTTTGCCACCGGTCCCGATGGAAAGAGAGTGTGGGCTACAAGCTTAGAAAGTCAATATCCAAGAAAATTGTGTATTGCTGTGAGTCAGATAGTGTTGCAGGTGGCTCAGGACTTAGGTCTTCATTTGTTGCCAGAAAGCATTCAAGACATCGCTTCACATCCGCTGCTCCACCCACAACAGGCGAGCATTTCTGTCGGAGGCCAACCTTTCCGCAAAAAGATTCCACCTATGGTGCCAGAGTTTGATGCCGTGGCAACCGCCCTTGTTGCGTCAGCCTCGGATGTGCCCTTTTCCGTTCTTTCGAAGATAGATAGGCCTTTGTCTTTGACCTCGCCCAGTTTGCTGCCTCTTGAAATTCCTAGCAAAGCACGTCTTCTCCGGTTTTTCAACTCCTCCGAATCCCGATCAAGGGGGAGTAGCCAAGATTCTGAGGTGTTGGAGGTGCGCGAGGCTCATTTTCCTTTCACTGCTGTTTTTGGTCTGCCATGGACACCTGAAAATTTTCTCAAGAAAGCTTGCAAGCTGAGACATCCTGCCTTGATAGACATGGGCATTCCAGAAGATCTTGACATTGCGCTCGAGAGACACACGGTGTGGACAGATCAGCAACTCGTGAAGTATAGGATGGATTGGTGCAAACAATGGCTCAAAAGAGCAAGTGAACTGGAAGCGCAAGAAATGCTAGATCGTGCTCAAAGACCCGACCATGTTCAGAAAAACACTGCTGGCAAAAGGTTGCTTTTGACTCAAGAGATGCTGGAAAGCATCCAATACGAGGACATCGATGCCCTAAAGTTTTTGAGGACGGGAGCAACTTTGGCAGGTGAAATTGAAAAGTGTGGAATTTTTGAGCAACAGTTCAAGCCATGTTTGATGACAGTTGAGCAGCTTGAATACGGAGCGAACAGAAGGAACCAGGCCGTTCTTGCTATGACGACTTCATCTGGGGATGCTGACCTGGATCAACGCGTGCTGTCAGAGACTCAAGAGGAGCTTGCAAAGGGCTGGGCCAGAGGCCCATATAAACTCCATGAACTGCCAGCAGGTGCTGTGATCTCGAGAAGGTTTCCCCTCGCTCAGTCGAACAAGACAAGAATGATCGACGACTTCTCCATCAGTGGGGTCAACGACTCCTGTGTGACGCATTGCAAAATAGATCTCCACATGATCGACACCCTGGGCGCAACAGTCCGGAAGTACTTTCGCAGCTGCAAGAACAGGGGTCGTGACAGTACATTGGTTGGCAAGACATTCGACCTCAAAAGTGCTTATCGGCAGGTCCCCATACACGCAGAACACTTGAAGTACGCCTACTTCAGCGTGTACAACCACACCAAAGGTTGTGCAGAGATCTACCAGCTGGTCACGTTGCCCTTTGGGGCTACGCACTCAGTTTACTGCTTCCTCCGCTTGGCTCGGATGCTGCATTCGTTGGCGGCAAGAGGGCTCTATCTGGTCAACACCAACTTCTATGATGATTTTGTGATGTTGTCTCGACCGGCCAGTGCAGTCTCCGCTGACCAAAGCATGGAGCTGCTCTTCCTGCTGACCGGGTGGCAGTATGCAAAAGAAGGGAAGAAGGCAACTACCTTTTCCAGCGTGTGCCAAGCGCTTGGGGTTGAGTTTGACTTCAGCAAGTCGGAACAACACCTCATGCTTGTCTCGAACACAACACAGCGAAAACAAGATCTCGTCGCAGCCATATCTGGTGCTGTGCAAAGAGGCAGTCTGACGAAGCAGGAAGCTTTGGTGCTCCGGGGCAGGCTGGGCTTCGCCGACAGCTTCATACATGGGCGGCTGGGGAAACTGACCTTGAAGAAGTTGATAGAGCATGCTTATTCGAGACGAAAGGAGCTTGAGGCGGACACAAAACTGGCTTTGCTCGCAATGAAAGCTCGCCTTGAAAGTGACCAACCCATGCATGTCAGCGACGGAGAGCTGGCGCAGTGGTATGTATACACTGATGCTGCTTACGCTTCTGACACCAAGACAGGTGGGCTAGGGGCGGTGCTTGTGGATGACCAGGCCAATGTTGTTGAATGGTTTGGCATTGCTTTGAGCTCTGATGAATGCAAACTTTTTGGCGCCAGCTCGAAAGAAACGATCATCTACGAGCTTGAACTCGCCGCAGCCGTTCTTGCATTCGCTTACTGGAGACAAAGGCTCCGACACAACCTGACCGTGTGGTTTGGCGACAACGACAGTGTTCGCTTTGCACTCATTCGAGCTTGTGGAACGGGACCATGGGCCGAAGCGCTAATACAATAACCTTGAAATCGAAACCGCTTGCAATACCAAGGCCTGGTTCGCAAGAGTTCCGACCGAAGCTAATATTAGCGACTTTCCTTCTAGGCAGTGTGAACACGCTTTGCTTTTGACTGAACTTGGCAGATCTTCACTAGCTTCCAGACAGTTCGCTGACCTCAAGGAGTTTGTTAGGAAGTGCTTGCGATGCCACGGAAACCAAATGGGGGAAATGACCGTGACATCCCCCGCGTGAAAAGAAAGCCCGAGCT